TATTTAATTTTGTGAGGTGGCTAGGAATATGGACCTGGGGGTGTGTGGATGGCTCAGTCAGGTGAGCCTCTGACTCTTGGTTTTAGCTTGGGTCATGATCTCATGGTTCATGAGTTCAAGCTCTGTGTCGGGCTCTGTGCTGCCAGTGTGGAGCCTGCTTGGGATTCTCTCTCTCCTTCTCTCTCTGCCCTCCCCTGCTTTGCGTGCGCTCTCTCTCTCTCTCAAAATAAATAAACTTAAAAAAAAAAAAGAATATAGACCTGTTTCACAGATGAGAAAAATGAGTCTCACAGAGGTTGCCTAAAATAAGGGAAAGCCTGATTTTGAACCAGGTGTCCTGATTTCCAAATTCAGGTGCTTTCCACAAAGAGAAACTCAAATCACCTGCAACATTTTTTTTTTTTTAAGCAAGAATGATGACAATATAAGGAATGTAAGAAATTCTTCCCCTTTCCAGATATAGCTGAGTGGATTTTGTGACTATGATATTCCTCCTTTGCAGCTAATGTTTTCCTGCCTTCTATTTGGGAGACACCCTCTGGTGATGATAAAAGGGACCCTCCTAAGTGGGGTCCCTTATAACTCTAGTATTGTGTACCTTTGAACCTGAGCCAACCGCTGAAAGAGATATGCTTGCTATCCTAATAGCCCCCATGTCTGATTATGCTGCAGTGCTCTACACTAGAGTAATTCAGATGACTGAATAGTCAACAAGTTTGGCCAGAGTTTTAATGATCATAATGAAAAAGCCATACGGAGGAATACATTTGGGGAAGAGTGCGTGGTGATTTTGTCGACAGCCTATGTGCCTTGGCCCACGTCCTCATTCTGGGGTTTGCGGGGTGACATTCTGGTAATTTGACTTTGACTTCTCATTGGCAGCCCATCCAGTGCAGGAGAGAAGCTAAGTCTACCAGGCAGTGAATCCCTGGAGCATTTTCTCCTCTTGTTTGTTTTTCTGACATTTGAGAAGTAGCCTCATTCATGGTATGATCTCACACTCCTCGCTTGGCAAGTGGATTCAGAATCGTCTTTCTGACTGTCTTTTTAATATAGTAAATATAATTTATATAAATCCCTGATCATAAGTGTTCGGTTAGCTAAGTTTTGGGAGTTCGATACACCTATGTAGCCAGTACCCAAACCAAGATATGAGACATTTTTATCATTCCCGAAAATCCTCTTCTCTCTTCCGAGTCTGTCCCTTCATTTCACACCTCCCCTGAAAACAGGCACCACTCTTCTGACTTCTAATAGCCCTAAATCTTCTAAGGTTATTTTCTAAATGATCATCAGCATGATTATTTTGTCTATTCTTGAACTTTCATGTCAGTGGAATCATACAGTATCTGGCTTATTTCATTCAACCTAATGCCTTTGAATTTGTTTGTGTTGTTGTGTATCAGTAATGTATTCCTTTTTATTGCTGGAAGTATACCACGGTTTGAAAATACCACAATTTGTTTGCTTATTCTCCTGCTGTTGGATATTCGAGTTATTTTCATATTTGGCCTGATATACATAAAGCTTCTGTAAACATTTTTCTAGAAGTCTTTCTGTGGGCATCTGCACTTGTTTCTGTGATCTATTCCTAAGGGTGGAATTGCAGGTCATAGGTAGGTGTATATTCAGATTTTCTTGCAGTTTTTTTTTTTTTAATATCTATTTATTCTTGAGAGCGCACACGCGCGAGAGAGGTGAGAGAGCAGGCAGAGAGAGAGAGAGGGAGACACAGAATCTGAAGCAGGCTCCAGACTCCAGGCTCCGAGCTGTCGGTACAGAGTGCAATGCGGGGCTCGAACCCACGAGACGTGGGATCGTGACCTGAGCTGAAGTCAGACACTTAACTGACTGAGCCATCCCGGCACCCCTGCAACTTTTAAATACACGTTTTGTTGTAGAATAATTTTAGATTTACAGAAGTATTTCAAAGATAATACAGAGAGGTCCTATATATGCCATACCCAGTTTCCCCATTGTTGACATGTTACATTAGTATGGTACATTTGTCACAATTAACGAATATATATTGAGACATTATTATCAACTAAAATTCATACTCTTCAGATTTCCTTAGTTTCTATCTACTTTTTTTTTCTGTCCATGATCCCATCCTAGAACTACATTACATTTGCTTGTCATGTCTCCTTAGGCTCCGCTTGTCTGTGGCATTTTCTCAGACTTCCCCTGTTTTTGATGACCTTGACTGTTTTGAGGAGGACTTGTCAGGTATCTGGTAGTGTGGACCTCAGTTGGGATTGGCTGATGTTTTTCTTCTGCATAGACTGGAATTACCATAGGTTTGGCAGAGGAAGAACACAGAGGTAAAATGCCGTTTTCATCACATATCAAAGGTACATGCCATGAACATGACTTTTCAGTGATGGTAACCTTGGTTACCTGCTTGAAGTCATGTTTGTGAGGTTTCTCCCCTGGAAGACTGCCCTCGCTCCCCTTTCTATACTGTGTTCACCGTGTACAAGCCACGCTTAAGGCGTAGGGAGTCGAGGATGGAGTATCTCCATAAATTACAGTTGACCTTTGAACAATGGGGGTTTGAACTGCATGGGTCCCCTTAGATACAAGGTTTTGTTTCCTTGATAAATACAGCCCATTACTGTAAATGTATTTTCTCTTCCTCATGATTTTCTTAGTAACATTTTCTTTCCTTAGCTTCTTTTATCGTAAGAGTACAGTATATAATACTATAAGATACAACATATGCATTCATTGACTGTTTATGTTATTGGCAAGGCTTCCGTTCAATAGTAGGCTATTAATAGTTAAGTTTATGGGCAGTCAGAAGTCCTACTCGGATTTGGCACTGCATGCAGGGGCTGGGGGTTGGCACCCCTAAACCCTTCATTGTTCAGGGGTCAACTGTATGGAATCGTATTGAATTCTTTGGCATGGGAGATTTATGTTTAGTTTTTAACAAGTGGCAGTACCTTTTTATCCTTGGACAAGTAATGCCCGAGAGTCTGTGTGTTTCTCATCCTCACCAATACTTGCTGTTGTCATTCTGACTTTGACCGTTCTAGTTGATGTGAAGGGGTATCTCACTGTGGTTTCAACCTGCATTCGTGATGACTAATGATGTCGAGTAACTTTTCACGTACTTATTGCCCATTCCCGTATCTTCCTTTGTGAAATAACTCTCTGAGTCTTTTGCCCAATTTTTTGTTTGTGTTGTCTGTCTTTTTATTATTGAGTCGAGGAGTTATTTGTATATTCTGGGTAAAGTTTCTTTGTTTCACAAATGCATGACATATTTTCTCCCAGTCTGTGGTTTACCTTTTGGTTTTCTTAATGGTGTCATTTGATGAGCTGGATTTAAGATTTTAATGAAGAGATTTGGGAACCAGCGTTGGAAGTAATGAGCCTTCACTCATTCTATATCTGGTGCTGCGAATTTTTAGTTACAAAGATGTATGATATGCTGATAGGCATAAGGATTGTAACCATGCTTTCTTTTCAAGGCATCTGATAGGGCATGAAGAGAAAATTTGCAGAGGAAAGTTAGACTTCCCCATAGTAACAGCAGTTGTATTGCGGAGCGTGAAGATTCCAGATGTATTTGGTCTCTTGAGTAGCAAATGCCAGCGCATAGAAGAAGCCCATGTAAGAAGGTGGCGTTCTGTCCTTGGCCAACTTTGCATTCTCATTTTCTAAAGCATTGGCATCATAGTGGATGACACAGTGCACGAGAGGACTGTGCTATGTGCCGCTCAAGTTAAGCCCTTGCAGACACTTGAGGAATCATGAGAAACAGTAACACAGCAGCTGCTGCCAGCTTTTCCCCAAGATTTGATGACCGACTGCACAGATTAACAAAACAAGGAGAGAAGCAAGCTCCAGACTCCTCCTCGAGAGGCAGAAAGAATTCCTCTTAGGAGAAGGGGCATCATGTGATATTAAATATTGACTCATTACATGGTTCTGGGGAGATGCTTTCAAGCTTCTTGGAATACCAGCAACAGAGAACGAGCTTTCTGAATTAGCGTTCATGTGCGAACTCACTGACCAGCCAATGCTGACATTAGCTACCTGAAATGATGCTTGGTTCTAACGCTGATCATTATTAGCTCCGATCTTTTATTATTTGTGATACGGTTTGATTTTGATAATAATCATATTTCTCAAGTTGAAAAGCCTTAATAGTCTCTAATTTATGCTAAGTAAATTCTGGCTTCTTGGTTGGTTTCTGTCAATTCTGAATTATTTAGCATACCGTTTGTAATATTTAACTTTGGAGAAAAGTATGTAGAAGATCATTATAGACTTATTCTTTGATACCTACTCTGTTTGGAACTGAAACAAGACTTATCTTTATTTTTGTTTGTATATTGTGACTTTTGGCTAATAAGGGCTCGAGTACCTTCAGTTTTCTTGGGTTCCACCTATATTCTACAATTCTCCATTTGTATACTTACCATTGATCCTGCAAAACTCAGAAAAAATAACAACGGCTCACAGAGGAAGTGGCCATGGCTTAATGCAATGAACAGATAAAAGCTGAAGGGGTCAGAACACCCTTAAATGCAAAGAAAGAAAAAATTAGGGACTTGACATTATTTAGAAGACTTAAAAATCATGGCATTGCTCAACACAATTTAAAAATTCTAAAATATGAATAAAAAGTTTAAACATTAAAAACATTGTTCTGACTTTTTTAATTAAAAAATTTGTTTATTTTTATTTATTTATTTATTTGAGAGAGGGAGAGTGTGCACAAAAGGGGGAGAGAGGCAGAGGGAGAGTGAGAGAGGCTCCACACTCCGCACAAAGCCTGACGCGGAGCTCGATTCCTTGAGCCTGGCATCATGATCTGAGCTGAAATCAAGCTTAGACGCCTTGTTTTGTTTTTTGTTTTGTTTTGTTTTGTTTTTTGTTTTAATGTATTCTTTAGGAAGAGAATATGATTTTTTTTTTCTCAGAGAAAACTATCTCTGAATTTAGCCATCATCTTATTCTAACTTCCTCTTTCCTTGCTACTTCAGGTGAACCTCTTTGTGCTGCTCTCTGTGGTGTGTGTCCTCTTAAATCTAGCTGGATTTATTCTCGGCTGCCAAGGGGCCCAGTTTGTGTCCAGCGTGCCCCGGTGTGATCTGGTAAGTAATCCTAGAGCATGGCTGTGCACCTGCATGGACCCTGGCCTGTCTGGCTTTCCAGGGGTGCCAGTGTGTGCCCAGCAGCATCCTAAAGTGAAATCTGAAGTCAGGCAGAGAAAGTGGGAAACAAAACAAAGAACTGGCCTGCTAGTTATTTTACTCACATTGTCAACTGTTTTTTTCCAAAACGGGGACCATCTAGCAGAACCCCAGCACCACAGTAATATGCCACATCGTTAGTTAGTGGGTGGATGGATGGGTCAGGTCTCCACAAGCAATAACTGTCTGCTCTCATCTGAAGAGGGAAAATGGAGATTATCAGAATACAGTTCAGCAGTCCTTTATCTGAAACCTTTGGAGGCCAGGTGTGTTTCAGCATTCAGAATTTTCCAATGATCAACGTGGTGCATACATGATTTCTTCTGTAATGCACTGTGGGACTCTGGGACAGCAGGCTTTAATCAAAACTTTTGGTTTTCAGGGCTTTTTGGACTTCGGAATTGTGGATAAGAGGTTGTGGTCCTGCACAATCTCTGAATTTTTTCCTTTAATTTTTAATGGTGGTAAAATGCATGTAGCAAAAAATGTACCATCTTAACCATTTTTAAGAGTTAAGTTCAGTAGTTGAAGTACATTCATATTGTTGTGCAACCAATCTCCAGGACATTTTTCTTGTTGCAAAACTGAAATTCTGTATGTATTAAACAATTCCCCTACCTTCCTGGCCCTCCCCCCCCCCCACCGCACCCCCCCCCCCGACCCTGCTTCCGGCAGCCACTCTTCTGCTTTCTGACTCTATGAATTTAACTGATCTAGGTACCTGATATAAGTGGAACCATACAGCATGTGTCTTTTTGTGACTGGCTTACTTCACTTATTTCACTTAGCCTAATGTCTTCAACACGCCCACATGTAGCATGTGTCAGATGTCCTTTAAGGCTTGAGTAATATTCCATCTCGTGTGTATACCATATATAATTTTTTAACTACAAAAATGCTTAAGTGTCATAAAAGTCGGCTTGCAAATATCTCTCTGAGAGCGTGCTTTCAATTCTTGTGGGTCTATACCCAATTGCCGGCCATCTTTGAACTTTTTTTTTTTAAGTTTTAAAATTTCTTAGAGAGAGAGAGAGAGAATGTGCATGCATGCAAGCAGGGAAGAGGGGCAGAGAGAGAGAGAAAGAGAATCTCAGGCGGGCTCCATGCCTGGCATGGAGCCTGATGCAGGGCTCGTTCCCACGACCCTGGGATCATGATCTGAGCCAAAAGCAAGAGTTGGCTGCTCAATGGACTGAGCCACCCAGGCACCCCCATCTTTGGACTTTTTAAAAGGACTTCTCAGTGACAAATACCTCTGTGTGGCACAAAGCAAAAGAAACAGACTCTTGAGAAGCCGTAGTCAGTGTCACCTATTTGTAACTTGGTTCCCAAGCAGTGTCGTCCCTTAGAAACCAGGAGGATGTAAGTGGAAGAGTGGCCGCGTGTCTCACAATGGATGTGACGGTAGAAGTCCTGGCCTTACAACCAGCAGGAGAGCTCCTCAGAGACTCACCCCAAACCTGTTGCCCTTTCTTAACACCCCTTTACGAGTTTTCTGATTTGTCATTGCATTGTGTAATAACCCTAAGTTACGACCCCAGGCTCACAGCTGTTTCTGGTTTTCAAGGTCCCCTGCGATTCACCATCGCCCTGCCTGCTCCCTAAGGCAGCTCACGCTCCCGGTAACACTGCAAAGCCTGCCTGGCATTGCCCTGCTTTCTGACCTCTAACAACGCTGTCTCCCCACCCCTCAAATTCCTCATCCCTCACTTCCCTGTTCTTCAAATGGTATCGCTCGTTTAAAGCCCCATTCAAAGATTATTTTCTTCAAGAAACAGTCCCTGAAGCCCCAGGGAAGATCATCTTCCAGAATGTCCTATATGTACATCTCATAGATATTTATCCTTCTCATTTTTGGGGTCGGAGACATTTTATATACCTGTCTTCTCTGTTCCTCCAAGCTGGGATCAGCCCGAAGGCAGCGTCTGGTTCTCTTTTTTTTTGGGCCCAATGGCCCCCTTCACTGCCTTCTATTCCTTCATGTACAGAGTTTCCAGAAAAAAAAAAAATGTTGAACAAAACTTGGTTTTCCAATTACTAATCACACAGCAAATTAGAAGAGGCTAAGAGACCAGACACAGGCTGGAAGTGAAAAGTCGTAGTATACTGAAAGACAGTTTGGCAAAATTGTAGCATCTCTTAGGTGCAAGAGACTGTGTTAGAGGCTGCTGAGAGTAGGAAGGAAAAGTCAGACCTCCTTTCTGACCTGGAAGTTTATCACGTAGCAGGAGGAACGGGATAAGCCTGGCAAACGCTGGATTAGTGTTTGGGCAGGACATGAATATGTGCCCAACTGCTAGCAGCTAGAGCGGGGCTGCCCGTCAGACTGACACACGGTGCTCAGGGCAAGCAGAGAAAGAAGGGCTTGTATCCGGGGGCAGATAGGGAAGGGCTACCTGGAGTCTAGGTGTCTGAGTTGGACCTTGCAGAATGGATAAATAAGGAGAGTGTGTAGAACCCAAGAGAAGACGGGACTCAGAGGACAGTGGGGAAATCAGCCCTGGTGGTGCTGGAAAATTGCAAGGGGTTAAGGGTATATTTAATGGACTTTTCTGAGAAATTCTGTGGTTCAGGGGCACCTGGGTGTCTTGGTTAAGCATCTGACTTCCGCTCAGGTCACGATCTCACAGTTTGTGAGTATGAGCCCCGCATCGGGCTCTGTGCTGACAGCTCAGAGCCTGGAGCCTGCTTCAGATTCTGTGTCTCCCTCTCTCTCTGCCCCTCCCCTGCTCACGCTCTGTCTCTCTCTGTCTCTCAAAAATAAATAAATGTTAAAAAATATTAAAAAAAAAAATTCTGTGGTTCTCTACCCAGAGTGCCCATTAGAGTCACCTGAGGGAACTTTTTAAAGAAAAAAAAAAAGAGATTCTATACTCAGTGATTCTCAGTCGGCCTGGGGTGGGGGCCTTGGCATCAGTATCTTCTTATGTTTTTTTTTTTTTTTTTTGTATTATTCAAAAATAAATAACAGAGAGAGAGAATGAAAGGGGGAGGAGCAGAGAGAGAGGGGATAGAGGTTCTGAAGTGGATTCTGTGCTGACAGCAGAGACCCCGATGTGGGGCTTGAGCTTCTGAACCACAAGAGCATGACCTGAGCAAAAGTCAGATGCCTAACCGACTGAACCACTCAGGTGCCCTGTGTGTCTTCTTATGTTGTTCAGTGTATTTTTAATTAAAGGTTTTTTTTACCCCCACCACAAAACAAATTCTGTGATTGTTTCTGATTATAAAACTAAAAATTTGGACAAGCCCTAAAAGTATAGGACAGAACTTAAAAATCATTTGAAATCACACCCTTCTGGGTTAGCACTGTTAACCACTGATGGATTTTGGGGGCACCTCTTTATGCATAAAAACACACATAATTTTCCATCAGTGGGAACATATAATTGTTGTTTTTCTTCAGGGAAGCTGTTTGACAAATAAAATCTTTTTGGGGATGGGGACACTTTCTGTCCTTCCCTCTCCACCATGTCACCCCAAATCCCTGGTAACAAACTGGGGAGTCTCCATTTGTGTTTCCATGTTATGTTATCCTACATAAATATGTAGGAAGTGGGGGCATTAATGATTTATCTTCCAAAAATGGGACATAGTGTATCTACTTCCCTACATACTGTTTTTCTCACTTAAAGGTGTATTACATACTCCTTCTCTTTTTTATTCTTTTTTTAAAGGTTAGCCCTCTGGGGCGCCTGGGTGGCGCAGTCGGTTAAGCGTCCGACTTCAGCCAGGTCACGATCTCGCGGTCCGTGAGTTCGAGCCCCGCATCAGGCTCTGGGCTGATGGCTCAGAGCCTGGAGCCTGTTTCCGATTCTGTGTCTCCCTCTCTCTCTGCCCCTCCCCCGTTCATGCTCTGTCTCTCTCTGTCCCAAAAATAAATAAAAACGTTGAAAAAAAAAAAAAAGGTTAGCCCTCTATTTCCTTGTTGTCTATGATGGCTTGGGGTTTGGCCCATAAAAACAATGTTGCCACACGTACCATTCTCTCCCTGGGGGCTTTTCGCTCCATGGAGGAAGCTCCCAGGTCAGAGATTGTTCTTGGTGGGGAAGGCGTATTTTTTCTTCTGTTTGTCTCATTTTTTTACAAAAATTACGCAATCAGGGGCGCCTGGGTGGCTCAGCCGGTTAAGTGTCCAACTTCAGCTCAGGTCATGATCTCATGCTTGGTGAGTTTGAGTCTCGCATCAGGCTCTATACTCCTAGCTCAGAGCCTGGAGCTTGCTTGCTTGAGATTCTGTGTCTCCCTCTCTCTCTTCCCCTCCCCCCCCTCAAAAATAAATAAACACTGAAAAAATTACACATTCAACCATTTGGTGACCCTATTTTTTAAAATTGAGGTAAAACTTAAAATGAAATATACAGATCTTAAGGGTGCAGTTCATTGAGTTTTGACCAGTGGATACATGCATCTTGGCGAATGTATGCACTGGTGAATACACACCACACGAGATTTAAAACATTAGTTTTGCCCGTTGTTGGACTTCACCTGAATGGGGTCAGGTATGTACCCTTCTGTGTCTGCCTTATTTTGCTCAGTGTAACACTTTTGAGATTCATCCGTGATTTTGTGTTGTATCAGTCCCTTCTTTTTTTTTTTTCTTTTGCACATCAGTATTTCATTATATGAAAACATCACAAGTTGTTTAATCCGTTCTCCTGTTGATGGACATTTGTGTTGTTTCCAGCTTGGGAATATTATGAACAGAGCTATTATAAACATTTTTGCATAGCTGTGGTTTTTCTTGTGAGCCCGTTTTCTTTTCTCTCAAGTAAATAAGTGATACGGTATTGCTTGAGGCATGTGGCAAAAGTGTGTGTCACTTTATAAGAAGCTGCTAGATGGTTTCCCAAGGTGGTTGGGGAAGAAGTATTGTTTTCAGTTTTTTTAAAAAAAATTTAATGTTTATTTATTGGAGACAGAGACAGAGCACGGGTGGGGGGGGCAGAGAGAGAGAGAGAGAGAGAGAGAGAGAGAGAGAATCTGATGCAGGCTCCTGAGCTGTCAGTGCAGACGTGGGGCTCGAACTCATAAACCACAAGATCATGACCTGAGCTGAAATCAAGAGTCAGACGCTTGACTGAGCCATCCAGGTGCCCCAGGAGAATAAGTATTTTTAATTTAAAATACATGGCTGGTTTCTTTATTAAAGGGCCTCAACTTACATTTCTACTGGTGCCCCTCCGTCAGCCAACAAGTGTTTCTCTCCAAAATTTGTCAGTCTGAGGGGCTGGTGTGGGAGCTCATGGGTTATAGTGGCTTGCAGTCCCCTCATTGCTAGAGATGGGGTCCTCATCTTTCAAAAGCTTCCCGGAAGATTCTAACAGGCAGCCGGGGTTGAGAACCACAACACTGGTGATAATGAAAAGGAGGGGAGGATCTCTCTGGTGGCATCAGGTAACACTATCAAGGTTGAAGGGTGAATATTGTTCATGTAGAGGCTTGAACAGGGTTGTTTGTGGATGGTTAAAGAGATCAAGGAGAAGTTGGAATATAGCTGCAGAAATATTGGGGGCACAGCTGGGATTGAGAAGGGAGGTGGAGGATCAGGACAGAAAGAGCAAGAAATACAAAATACACAGTTGTCTGGCACCATTTTATACAGAGCCTCAGGGTTGTTTGTGTCTGCTGGGCACAGCGATTGATACTCATTATTATTTGGATAATGATTAAACTTTCCAAAAGTCTTGTGTAAAGGGATTAACATTCACCGATCTGGAAAGCCGTTCCATCCAGACCAGCTCACCCAGGAAGTTCCAGAGAGCTGAAGTTTCCATATACACAGAAGCCTGGTTGTGTGTAAATAATGCAGCCACGTGTGTGTGTGTGTGTGTGTGCGCTCACGCACACGCGCGCAGCCCGCACAAGCCTGTTTTCTCTCTTAACTTGAATGCCTTGTATCAAGAATGGACTCGAGGGGGAGGGGAGTACTTTGCAAGATGACACCTAGTATTACCTGAGGGAGGCAGAATCCTTAGGTAGGATTTTGAGGCTTACGTAAGTATAAGAAATAGAAACCACACTGCATGGTGCTGAAAAAGTGAACTTGGTTGAGCTTGGTTGGTGTTTGGGAAGAAGAGAGCCTCGTGTACATAAGCAGAATGTAGCAACTCTAATAGCTGCTTATTTGTAACTACTAAAAAGTACTGTTAGTAGTAAATCAGGGAGTTCTCAGCTGGAGACTTTGAGGGAAGCAACTCCCTGGGAGTAATACTTCCCAGCTGAATTTAGCCCAGTGTAAGGACTCTTGCTAATTATGAAGAGGGGCTAAGAGAAAGCCATTGATCCCTCAGAGGAAATAAAATCCCCCCCGCCCAGACTCTGCCTAGAGAACTCCTGTCTGAACGGCCACAGTAGTTTTCCCTTAGAAGGCAAAAATTGAGTGCAGATATTAGCAGCAGGATGTACCTCCAGACATGTGAGACAGTGGAAGAAAAATTCAAACACAGACAGCCTTTTGCTTCTATGTGCGTCTGCAGGGTATGTTGTGGATCTAGGTGTGGGGACATTGTTAAGACAAGAGTCTCTGTGGACAAACCAGGAAAGGACAGAAACCAAGTGGAAATGAATGGATAGGGTCCATCGAGGTAACTCTAGTTACTGTAATTTTTTGTATCTGAGGCAGAATTTATATCAAAATCTGGGCATCAGTGTTTGATGTAATAATGCATCCCTTTCACTGTGGTTTAAGGACAGAGAATAAAAAATGTTACAGAATCCATGGAGTTTTGGAAGAGGCAAAACTAATCTATGTGGAAAAAATCAAAACAGTGTTTGCCTGTAGGAGGATGGGGGCAGGGATTGATGGGGAAGGGCATGATAAAACTTCCTCTGGTGATTCTGTCTTCTCTATGTTGATAAGGATTTGGGATGCACAGGAGTTATGCGTTACTTAAAATTCTGCAAATGGCGTGCTTAAGATTTGTATGTACATTTTGTGTATGTGCATGTAAATTTCACATCCAAGAAAGAGAAAACCAAACCAAAACATAATGTGTCTATTAACGTGTGTAATCATCAGTGGACATTTTTCCCTTCGCTTCATAGTCAACATGTATTAAAAGGAACTATGTTTTCTCCTAATTTGGAAAAGTACCATGAATTTGTTACAGGAGGGTAGCTACAGGTTGAGTTTGGTTAGAAGGTAAAAATCTTAATTCAATAAGAAAGAAGACTCATATTTCCTCTTAAGTAACTAAAACACTGTAGATGTTCAGTTATTAAAGATTACTAAAGAATTTTGCAGCTAGTGCTGTTGAAGCTACCTAATTAATCTAACAAGTATGAAAAAGGTATGTCTCTTCCTTTTAACCAAAATTTAACAGCCAACTCTAACAGCTCAAGAGGCAGAGCAAGTTAAGTATGAATTTTGGCTCCTAAATTATGGGTCTTAATTAGCCAACTTCAGGTTTTGCATATTTTTATAACTTGATTCAAGGGGAACTTAGAAATATGGCCAAAAGTTTGCCAAACATTTCACTATAAATATGAGATTACTCATCTCTGATGTTATCACTTCAAATAAAGAAAGCTAGAACCTGTGACCACATTGAAGATGTCAGCTGAGAGATCTCGTTAAGTCCATGTGGTTTGGGGATACCGTTCACCAAATATACCCTGTGTTTCTTATAGGCACATGATAGCTTAAATTTTCCTACCCACTTGGAGTTAGGTAGAGCCATAAGATTTGTTTTGGCAATGAAATGTGAGCTAAAGCGAGGAGTGTCATTTCCAAGAGGAAGATTTAGGCTAGAGTTATGACGACTTAGCAAGTTAAAAACACAGGGTGCCCAATTAAATTTAAATGTCAAATAAACAGCTGATACATTTTTGTGTTTTGTTTTTGTTTTTTACTATAAACATTTCTCATGCAATATTTTAGGACATAATTATACTAAGCAATGATGTTGTTTATCTGGATTTGAATTTAACTGTGTGTCCAATATTTTTCCTGGCAACCCTATTTTAAGTGCCAGTGTGCATTTTATCATGTGCTCTCCACCTCTGGCATAGTGATCATTAATCTCGAGATGGTGGGTGCTCCATCAACCAAGGTCCCTAATGGAATATGATGACCAGAGCCCCCGGCAGACCTGCAGTGGGCATGTAGAATATTCAAGAAATAACCTTGTTGTTACAACAGCATACCCTAGCCTACCCTGACTGATATAGGTACTGTCTGGCATGGGACCTCACCATATCTCATTCTGCAGGATTGGTGCTCCAGGGTAGCCTGTGTATTCATTCTCAATAATCAGATTGTCGTTCTGCCTTTTCCCCTTTAAGGTGGACTTAGGCGAAGGCAAGATTTGCTTCTGTTGCGAAGAATTTCAACCAGCCAAATGCACAGACAAAGAAAATGCCTTGAAACTCTTTCCGGTTCAGCCTTGTAATGCTGTTCACCTGCTACTCAAGGTACTCGAATGGATTCGACCCTCATCAGTAAATAGGCTATAGAGCCCCCAAGAAGGCAAAGTTACTTGAAATATTCCTACCCTGTTACCTCCCTCCAATAATTGGGCTGCTGAACGCAGATAGGAGCCAACCCTCATCAGTGACCCAGGGACAGAACTGAGTTCAGGAAAAAGCGCAGATTACTGTGTGTCTCTTAAATTACGAATAGATGGCTTTCTTTGTGTTCAAGAATTATAAGATAGTGAAAAATGTAAAGAAGCCTAAATATATACATATGTATGTATATATATTTATGTACATATATATCCATACCACACACGATGCAACTACACATATATGATGTAGCTTTTAGCAAAGCCTTTATTTTATATTTTTTAACCTTTTTTTGATGTTTATTATTTTTATTTTTTTTTTCAACGTTTATTTATTTTTGGGACAGAGAGAGACAGAGCATGAACAGGGGAGGGGCAGAGAGAGAGGGAGACACAGAATCGGAAACAGGCTCCAGGCTCTGAGCTATTAGCCCAGAGCCCGACGTGGGGCTCGAACTCATGGACCGTGAGATCGTGACCTGGCTGAAGTTGGATGCTTAACCGACTGCGCCACCCAGGCGCCCCGATGTTTATTTTTTGAGAGGGAGAGAGACAGAGTGTGAGCAGGGGAGGGGCAGAGAGAGAGGGAGATAAAGAATCCAAAACAGGCTCCAGGCTCTGAGCTCTCAGCACAGAGCCCGATGAGGGGCTCGAACTCATGAACTGTGAGATCATGACCTGAGTTGAAGTCAGATGCTTAACTGACTGAGCCACCCTGGTGCCCCGGCTTTTATTTTATATTTCAAGTAGGCCCACACACATGTGGGGTTTGAACTCCCGAACCTGAGATCAAGAGTTGCATGCTGTATGAACTGAGCCCACCAGGTGCCCCGGCCTTGAGCAAAACGTTTAAACTGCATGCCCGTTTGTCCTTGTACTGATGCTCCTTTGTTGGCTTCATCGAGTCCTGTGGGCTGTTGGGTGATGTTCAGCCAGGACACACAGGCTTGGGAGAGATATCTGTTAGTAAATGCAAGAGAAATTCAAGCACCTTACCTCTTGTTTAATAGGCTGCAACTATAGTAACTGAGAGATTAAAAATAAATGATTCCAGTTGCAGAGAGGAGTTCAGAATTACCCTTTCTTAGGGAATTGGATGAAAGTTTTGTCCTGACTTAAGCAAGGCCGCTAGTCCCGTGAGTGACAAGATCAGTTGGTGAACCCTGAGGTATTAGCTTTTGGATAATCCCTCACTGACAGACAGGCTTTCTTCAGATCTTTCTTTTGGGTTTATTTTTTGTTCAAAGGAGGGATCTCTCAGCTGCCAGCTCTCTGAATTGTGTAGAGTGTGAAAATGGCCTTCTTTCTTTGGCTTCTTGGTTTTCTGGTAGCTGAATCGCCCCCAGACTTTCCGAGCCACAACCCCTCTTGGGAAAAGCCTCGCTAAGGAGCCAGGACTGTGGCAACAGAAACTTCTGGAATTGCCTTTCCTGCTATTTTGAGATGTGTTTAGAGAAGAGACGCCCTGTTTACACTCTGGCTGGCCTGCCCCCCTGCGTTGTCATAGTTAGGTGCCCAGGGCAGCCCAGCCGGTCGCTCCTGAAATAGAATCCGTGGCCACAGATTAAACAGCATGCTGTCCTGCTGGGAGGCTGCAGGAGGGGGAGGTGGGGAACTGCTATCATTGAGGACCCCACCTTCAGAACGGACACTCAGCTGCTCTCCTGCAAGGAACGTTTCCAGACCACATTCTGATGCTTGCAAAAAGAAAAATCGTAATCCTAGGGCTTTTGGGGACAGCAAGCTTCCGAGATCAGTTTTTAAAATTAAGAAGTATACATTACTGCCTGAGAGTCCTAATAATAACCAGCATTTATCTGGCACTTACCATAAGCCAAACGTCAAAGTCCTTTGCGTGGTTTTTCTCATGAGAATCGCCTTGTTGGGACATTACCATTATTATTTTTAAAAGTTTTGATATTGCCTTCTGGTCATCAGCTTTGAAGTACTCGGTGGTGTTATTATTTCCCTGTTCTAGAAAGTTCTTTTCGCCCTGTGTGCCTTGAACGCCCTGACCACCACCGTCTGCTTGGTGGCAGCTGCCCTTCGCTACCTCCAGATATTTGCAGCCCGAAGATCCTGCATCGTAAGTCCAGACACGGGGACACCAGGACTGTGTTGCACTGAGCCTTTGTAGCAAAGGTCGTTGACTAACCAAGGTGTTGTTTCATTAGGATGAGTCCCAGATTTCTGTCGAAGAGGTGGAAGAACATGGACGGATCCCAGACCCCGATGATTTCGTGCCGCCAGTGCCCCCGCCTTCATACTTCGCCACATTTTACTCGTGTACACCCCGGATGAACCGCAGGTAGCCTGGGTGCCCCCACCCCAGCTCTCTGTGAGGACTCATGGAGGATTGTGTTATTTTCCAGGACTTTCTATCCCCCCCACCCTGCCCTTTTGTCTGATAAACCACGCCAAACCAAAGAAAAGTCACACCTTGACCTAAGGGTACGCTTTTTCCACTTCAATTAGCTTCCCAGGAAAACTGACACCCAGTGAGATGGCTGCTATAATGTGACAAGATTGAGAGCTGCCGTTGCCCTGGAAACATGCTCAGGCCAAATCGATGTTCATTATAACACCATCAGCAGGTTCCCAAATCATGACATTCTTCCCAGCCATTAAAAAAAGATTAATTATTCATGACATCTCCCTGGTCTAGAAAAAATAGACACCATGCTTATTTTCTTTTTCAAATTCTAGCTCGAAATTTATCGTTTGTTTCTTAAATCTCAGGAATAACTGTTTGCAGAAAGAAATGCTGCATGTGTTTTTCTGGTTGGTAGTGACTTCTAGAATTATACCTCTTTAAAGATTGACTTCATTTATTCATTCAACAAACATTTAATCAGTCCTCGGCTGCTTCCTAGTCACCATGCTGGGTTATTGACATTCCAGATGAGTTAGATCCGCCTTCTTCCCCTCTCTATAGCTCAGAGTCTGGGTCATTATGGAGGAGTATTGCAAGGACCATAGTAGATCTCAAGAGAGAGATTTGGGTGCACAGAGGAGGCCCACATAACCCATGATCGTGAATGGGCTGCAGAGAGCTTGAAGGCAGAGTCAGCCAGCCAGAGTTGGCTTTCTGGATGAAGTGATCTTAAGCTGAATTTAAAGGATAAGCAAACTATATTTAAGCTTCCAAAAGAAAAATCTCTGAATTCGATAAGACTGGCGTCTTTAGCTCAATATTCAGAGGGCCAGGAATTTCTACTTTTAATCCCCAAGGTACACAAAGGAGAGTGGTCAAATTTGGTGCCAGGCTTGAGGTTTTTGGAAATCCATTTTCTAATGCTCAGGGCAGCCACATGTGGCTTTGAAATAGGTCTCCAGTGGGAGCCCCTACACAGATGCCGTTAATGTTCTTTTCAGTGGGTTGTCTTCCTGCCTTGTCGCTCAGAGTTGTACCTAAACCCCATCTCCATGCCCTCCTCTGCTCACCCACCTAGGGGCAGGTAGGGATGGCCACAAAGCTGGAGGGGACAGCTTCTGGGTGCACGGAGGACAGCTCAGCCTCCCTGTTGTTCAAGGGGTGGTGTGCTAGAATGTCAAAGCTTCGGGGGCTAGGATGACTTCCCTAGTCTTTAAGGAAATGAGCCAAGAATTACAGGGGCCAGAGAGACAGAGCAATAGAACACATATTCCTTGTGCACGTAGAACACATTTGCTCATACTGTAGCCCAGTTTCAGGCTGTGTGCAGTGGACATATTGGAAGGCCGTAGAAAATGCCTGTTATTTCATGGTTGGGAAGAGAAATGCCCTCTTCAGGAAGAAGAATTAATTGGCTTTCTGATATTGTGGGTGAGCCCTTGGTTGACCTACGAGGAGGCAGCAGACAGATTTAATTTCCTGCGGTGGCAGAAAGGGAAAGTGACTCATGCGGGTGTTGGAGTCCTGCTGTCCAGCAGTGCCCCTCCCCACTTCCCTTCCCCTCTCTTCCATTTCTCTTATCAGTTCCTCCATAGTAATGCTTATCAATGTGGGTATATCCACCTTTGGGTGCATCCCTGGATTTGCCCCTCTGAGTCCTGAGACTGTCCTCTCCAAATCCAGACAAGCATCTCCTCAAGAGCTTTGCCTTTCAGAACTTGCCAGAAGGAACATGGAGGAGGGTGTTAAAGTAACCCATCCCTAGGGGCACCTGGGTGGCGCAGTCAGTTAAGCGTCCGACTTCAGCCAGGTCACAATCTTGCGGTCCGTGGGTTCGAGCCCCGTGTCGGGCTCTGGGCTGATGGCTCAGAGCCTGGAGCCTGTCTCCGATTCTGTGTCTCCCTCTCTCTCTGCCCCTCCCCCGTTCATGCTCTGTCTCTCTCTGTCCCAAAAATAAATAAACGTTGAAAAAAAAAATTTTAAAGTAACCCATCCCTGTGAGAAAGAAGACACTGCTGGGCCTGAAGTATATACCTGGAGACCGAGATCATATCTCCAATGGGCAAACACCCTTATTTTCTGCAATTCTCCCAATATCAGAGGGCAGTCCACTTTCCTTACTAAAATGGCTAAATGTATTCACCTTTGCATACATATTGTATCAAAAGCATTCTTAAATTTGGCCGACTTTGCTAGATTTTTAGCTATCTACCTTATAGACACTAGCTGTTCAACTTTGGTAATTTTCTTTCTTGTAAGCAGGCAGGCAAGAAGATTGATGAATGTTTTCTTTAGTATTTCCACAACCGGTTAAGAGTTTTCACACAATGGAAGCTCCCACTTCCTGTAAGATATCATGACCTCTCAGAGAAGCTTATTTATTTAACTTCTATAAATACAACCACTTCGTGCATTGGTACCTCCCTGAGAAAGGGTTTCTCAAATTACCGTCATAAACAGAAACCTGATTGCAGTGAAGGTTTCTGTGCAGAGATGGGTTTCTGTCTCGTGACTTGATTTGTAAGGGCAGCAGGGGCTGCGTCTTCTTCTTCCGTCACCCCAGGGAGCCCCCCATCCTCAGAAATCGGCTGGAGCCAGGAGTCAAGAAGCAGAGCTTCTGACCTATTCCGTGACTGTGGACCTAGTTGAACCATGGTGATGTAATGTGTTATGGAAAACTTAAGATTATAGAAAGCAGAACACGGGCAATTTGTTTCTTGGTGGTAAACATAACAAGCTCATTTCCTTTCCTAATGAAGTTCAAAACCCAAACTCAAGTGGAGCCAGGCTGTGCTGGTGGGCGACTCGGTGCTCAGTGCACCCTTGCCTGGCGTCCACATCACTGTTCCAGGACATAGGGGAGGACCACTCTTTGGTCGTATGAGTTGCTGTATGACCCTTGCCTGAGTTCTCAAGGCCTAGTGGTCAACGTAAAGCAGAATGCATTTGGCATGGTCTGTTCGGGTTTTCTGTCTACCTTTAGTAGTGAAGGCTTCCTGGAGAGTTTGGGATGAACTTGAAAGAGCCCAAACTCTGGAGTCTGTTACCAGGCTGCCCTTGGGGGATCTCTTACCATTTCTGAGCCCCAGATTCCTTCTTCAGCTGTGGTGTCACATGGCTGCTTAGCTGATTTTTAAGAGACAAAAATCTCTTTATCTGTATGGGCCCCACCACAGGCAATTAGAGCAGACTTTCTAGAGGTGAGGTCTGGGCCTTCCATAGTTTGCAAACCTCCCCGGGTGATTCTACTCCCTAGCTGGGGTCAGGAGCCACGAGGGATCAGGAGAAAACCTGCCAGGTCATAGCAGACCTGCTTCCCTCCCCAGATCCCTGTGTACCCAAAGGAGGTGAAATAGAGAAAACTATTTAATAGGAAAGGAACTTTCCTTTTCTCCTCTAGAAGCATCTTCTATCAAACAGAGGCTTTCTTGGTCATTATAGTAACCACCATAAGAAGCCATTCATTTGCAGTCAATTTAGAGAAAATGTGCCCCCTTTCCCCCTAGTTTTCCTTCTTGAAGAGTTTAAGATTTAAAATGGAGGTCGGTTTGACCTCTTGGCCCCAAGCAAGACCTCTCTTCTCTGTGAACATACAGGTAGCCACTGGGTGGGAAATATCAAACAAAAGACCACCAGAGCTAACAAACAAATTGGCAAAGCTGGGGGTAGTCACCTTCCTGGGGAGGACGCTGCAGTGAAGAAACATAAGGGGAGGCAGGTGCCTGAGTGGCTCGGTCGGTTAAGCGTCTCACTCTTGGTTTTGGCTCAGGTCATGATCTCGAGGTTTCGTGGGTTCAAGCCCTACATCGAGCTGTATGCTGGCAACATGGAGCCTGCTTGGGATTCTCTCTCTCTCTCTCTCTCTCTCTCTCTCTCTCTCTCTCTGTCTCCCCTCCCCGCTCCCCCCCCAACCGTTTGCCCCTCCCCCACCCATGCTGTGTCTGTCTCTCTCAA